TATGAGCCGGGCCAGGTCCCCTATTTTCATCACTCATGCACCCTCTCCCCTTCCTAACACGGTTGAGCGAAAGAGAGTTCTCTTCTCATTGGTAAATACGAAATTCTTTTCTGAAGCAGGATGTAGGTTTATTATATTGCGCCTAATGTCTCAAACAGTTCTCACAAAAAGGGCAAATGCATGGAAACCGTACCGTCGCATTTGGAAATGCAAATTGAAGCAGCAAAAAAGCAGAGAATCAGCAAGGACGATCTGTGACACATGTTTACTCCGAGGAGGTCACACACATGCCCTTTGTAGCAAACGACTAATCCGGTTCTATCGTGGCATGTTTCGGTGATGGCACACGTCATTACCCTGTTTGAAGAATCGGAAGCGTTATGACTGATAGATGTTGTGGCATGTACAAGCACGCTAAACGTTATCAAAGTCAGAAAATGGAGGACAGCACGGATGATGTGAAACGATTTTACTCTCAGAGTGTGCCATGCATTCGACATTCATTCAGAATCGTGAAGCGTAAGTTGCCAACACAACCGATCTTCCATTATGAACATTATGCCCTCCAGAGCGCCTTCAAAGGCGAAGCATTCGCCATCTCAGATAGCTGGTTAGGGGTTTGCATGTAGACAACAAGATTTTGAGTAACTCGTAGTGAACAAAAAGCAGGAAGAAACATGCCAACTGCCCTAGATAGAACCCCATTTCGAAACCCTTTGTACGTGCCCAATCAACTCCATCTCCAACACTGCTCCCTCATCCGCACAGCTGATTCCCGATAAGAACTCTACGACCGTACAAGTGACGATTTTCATGCTTTTCGTCCTGCAGCTTCGTTTTCACTGAAAGGCGGGCCTTGAAGGCGGAGTCTGGAGGCGGAGTCACTGGAGAAAAGGAGGTGTCACTGAACCTACAGTCCTCATCATTGCGGACTGTCAGAGGCGGCGTGAGCAGCGCGGTTCGAGTCTGCGTTCAGCTCCCTTGCTTTACCAATAGCGATCATTTAGGGAGGAAACAACCAATGATGGAAACGCCGCTGATGAGAGCCGCTGATTGCGACCCGAACAATTGCGTGAAATTAAGCGTATATTGCGCTAGCGCCCCTCTCTCACAATTTTTCACTGCAAAACTGGTACAGGGGCTGTTCGTCGCAGGCAACGCTACCCTCTCGACGCCATATTTTCAGCTTCTAGACCTGGTAGCAGACCGTGCCTGTAAGCGGAATTCGGATATTTGGTTGGACCGGTATTATATTAGGGGTGTTCAAGGTATTTATTTTCCATATAGGTAAAAAGGAAAGTTAAGAAATCAAATTTACTTTTCCATGTAGTCCCCCATAACCTCAACACTTTTGTTTGCTCGGGAAACTAATTTTTCAACAACCTCTCTTGAAAATATTTTTCCTCGGTCGCCCGACTGTGTCGTTGATTGCTGCCTCAACTCTATCATACGTCAGAAAAAACGTTTTCCCACGACGATCTTCAAGGTTTATGGGAACGAATCCACTAAAAGTCCTAAGTAATCACTAATCATTTTCTCAATTCAATTTTCTTAATTTTCCTTCCATTTTTCTCAATTTTTTTAATCATAATCGTCTTCTCAATATTGTCACATTCAGTCGTCCTCTGGTCTCCTCTCACGCAAAGGATAACAGTAAAGGCAAATGAGAACTAAACCAAATGAGGTTCAATGTTTGTACGCTTAGGGGTGGTCGCTATCCATTGAAATGAATTTGAATCGCCTTCGTCAATTACCCCGATACCGAGAATACTTTGAACGGCCCTCGTACATACATGGGGCCCAAGCGTTCCACTCCTCCATTTTTTTTACAATTTTCGACATTGGACTTGGAGGCATAGTCCACATTAATCGCATGAGACATCCCTCCCCTTTGCCATTTCACGGAAAGTGCAGCCCTGGAAGTGGCACTGTGGTGACTCCGCCCATATGATCAGCATGGACTGCGCGTTCAAATAGGACTCAGGCAATAGTTGGCGGCTCTGACCAATGAGCTTCCGTTCTTCCATTGTTTCTCTTTTGCTTCAAAGGTAGCTGGATATTGTCGTATACGTTGCTCTCCAAGAGCCTTCTTGGCACTGTGCTCCTTTCGCTGTCCACTACCCTTTGCTGAATGAACAGAGCCGAATCACTATTTTATCTTTCTACTCGCAGCTACTCGGCGCTTTCGAAAAAAAACGAGGGCGAGGACTTTTAATAGTTTGGCAGTTTCTGTACTAGTTTAGCAGTCTCCACGGGAAGGCGTTATTCGATGGGAATCAGATTAATGCCCCCACCAAGGTAGATTGCTCCCATTTTCAAAAAGAACTACACCGAGCGAGGAGGGATAAAAAACAGTGCGAGTGACGTCACTTGCAGCAGGCATTACGCAGTTCCTAATTGAGTCAGCTTAGAAATGATTCAGCATGTCGAGTCCACTAGCTAGGAAATGCCTTGTAATTTTGCACGGCGTCTGCCACAATGATATGATTACGGACCATAGAGCATAAACTATTAGGTTGTCCGGAAAGGAATGCGCGTTGAATTTTTTGAACTTGTCCATTTTTTTCTCTCCTACTATAGAAGATTTTTGGAGACAGTTTTGTCTATTAGAAAGAGATTTTTATTGTGCTTCTTTTGATATATTTTTGTCCATGTCTACTTTGCTTTTTTTGGGGAAAAAAAGTTGGGAAGAGCGGGTGCCGCACCAGCTGAGCGACGCAAACAAGGCAACACGAGTGGCAATGGCCGGAATTCTTCTTCGTCGCTCCAAGAACAGCGGTTTTTTCGACTCTATTATTACATCAAATGAGAAAAGGGTCTGCTTCGATAACGCAACGAGAAAAGGACAGTGGTTAGACTCCAGTGACCCTCCAAAACGGACTCCGAAACCTGATATACGCGGCAAAAAGGTGATGCTCCGTGTTTGGTGGAATAGCAAAGGTTTGATGTACTTTGAAGTTCCGGAATCGGGTCAGACGGTTACGGCGGACATCTGCAAACACCAGTTGAACCGCATGGATCCAGCACTGCGTCTTCAAAGTGTCGAAACGACGTCGACAAAATTTATCCACGACAACGCTCATCCACATGTGGCGAAAATCACTCTAGAAAAAAATTGAGGAATTGGGCTGGAAAGTCCTGCCTCATCCGCCACACAGATCAGACCTGGCACCATCGATTACCATCTGTTCCGGTCGATGCAGAACTCCCTGGCCGAGAGAAAATTCACAAACCGCGAAAAAGGTCCAACTCTGGGTGTCCAACTTCTTTGAGTCGCAGCCGGTCGAGTTCTTCAGAAGAGGAATCCATTTTTTGCATAATGTTGACAACAAGTCATTGATACTAATGGAGATTGTCTTTTGAATTTATCTTGTTTAATTTCGTTTTTATAATAAAAAATTTTTAAGCTCGAACGCGCATTCCTTTCCGGACAACCTAATAGATGCCTACACTTAAAAAGCACGACTATATGCAAATCTTTATACATGTTGCATATACATGTCGTATTCGTATCATTTACAATAGATACAATAGTGTTGTACAGATGGCTGCCACTGTTCTAGTCAACCAGGTTCTGGTATAAAGAAGTCAGGAGGCTCGTCGAATGTACTGTATCAAACCGTCGACCTCACTTTGTGTTCCTATTTTATATTTTCCTAAGCAGTCGCCATTTTGCTTATATCCTTCGCTATAGAACTTGGTGTTGATCCTTTCTGAAACAAAATTGGCTCGTAATGTTTTATCTGGGAGAAATGGTGATACCAGAAAGTCCACTGACCTCGTTGCGCTCCATAAGCCATTCTCCTGCTTTACTGATCACAGAAAAGAAAACGAATCCAGCGAAGATTATTCCCATACCGATATAAACTGGAAGTATCACAAATATGGCTTAATCATTTAGTTTCTTTAGAAGTTCATCAAAACGCGCCAGTAACGTCTCAATCAGTCGTCCCTGTAGCCCTGCATTTTCTGTGCTAGAAATGCAAATTGATGGAAAAGACCGATACCAGCGATATGATACATTTTGTTTCTTGCCCCAAGAAAAAAAATAGAGAAAGTGTTGGCGCAGCGCCAAACCCATCCCACCTTGACACTCAGAGGAGATTTTTCGGGAAATACGACCCCTAGCCCAATTTTGTCCTCTGCTAGACCCTTTCCCTTCCCATCCTGCCTTACCATTTTTCTCGAGCTTCCTACCACTTTTTCAGGAGTTTCCCCAAAATTTTGCCGTCGAGCATTGAGCGGCGGGGGGAGGGGGAAGGATCGTCAGCGGGAACGCAGGAAGATTCTCCCAAAGGCAAATGAGACCTCTCTTTCCTAAATGACGAGCAGGTACGACCCCCACCCCACTGAAATTCTCAAAAAGATGTGAATAGTGCGCGCGAAACGAAAAAATTACCCATCCGATAATTTCTCTTGGACTAAATACGACCCTCCCTCTCCCTCCAGTAACCGAATACGACTCCCGCTGGGACTTACCCAACTTAGGAGGTGCTCTACGCCTCATCAACCGCAGCGATCAAAACTGTATACACTTCTTCCACGTCTTTTCATAACTCCACAGAACAATCTAACAATCTAGTACCTAAAAAACTTACTCAAAGTCATTTCAGGTCGAGTAAGCAGGAAACCAATTACGGAGAGAGCTTCTAGAACGTATATGAAACATGCGAGAACCTAAATATTGAATAGTAAGCTTGCAGAAAATATCTCAGTTCGTCTGTTCTCTGACCTGTCTATGAAAATGCGATCCGAGGAAGCTGCCGAATGGAGCGAGAGTGACTCCGACGGGGATGGAGACTTTGAGGTAGTCTAGGGCAAGATTCGGTACGTCGCCCTCCCATACAAGGCGATAGTATCCGCCTACCACTGAGTTCATTCCTGAAATGTTTACCGATGAGTAAATCGTCCACATTCGAACGATTTTCGGGTGTTTCCCCGAGGGAAATGAGTACGTGCTAATGAGTCCTTGTAGATTGTCTCGCTCCATGTGGTACAGAATAGTGTGCTCCATTCCATCATAGCAGATGGTCACTGTGGAATGCTTTTATTCAGCCCAGAGTTTTGGCAAGATAGCTCTCCTCAAAGGCAGTCATGCCGGAACTACGTGCCGAGGAAGAAAAAAAGCCAAAAAGAACCCATTGAGGACGGCGATAGAGCCGAAGCACAGGGCTCAGAAATTCGCTGCACTGTAACGATCTGTTCGCCACAGGATGGGAAACACTCCTTTCAGTAGTTAGGCAGGTTAGTGGAGAAAAAGATATGAATTAGTAGTGTCGGCAATAGATTTGATAAGGTTTCATGCGCTGTTCGCCTCGGGAGGGGCGACTTTCACTTTCGCTAGCTTCTCTTGCCAGATCCTGTTGACATTTGATTTCTCGGTGAGAGCTGTTAACTCTTGTCAAGTGTAAACGATGCTCGCGAAATTGCATAGCTTCGCAGGAATCTACAATTCTCCATAGGTAGCAGGCAGTGGTCGGTGGCAGCGAGCAAGATGCCCTACCAAGCCGATTTGCGCTAAGGTAGACATTCAAGATTAAAAAAACAAACCCATAAGCTCAAGATTAAAAAAAACAAACCCATAAGTACTACAGTCGTAGGTGTAGCCGTTTTTTCGCTCACTCTAAACAGCAGTGTTATCATGGAGAAGATGCATATATCAACACCAGATCCAGCAAAAGCCGTGAAGATCCCTGAAAAAAAAGTTCGTGAATGTAATCAAATGAGTTCACCAGCATTCCATCTCGAAAGAGGATTCAAAAGACGTTATTCGAAAACAGAAGAAATGGGCAAAGTTAGGTTGGGTCGCTTTGGACCGGATTTTTCGGACCCGTGCGCACTCATTATGGCTTACAGAAGGGAACAGTAGTTGGCATTGAATGTGGCATTCATTTCACGCTGAGTTTCAGTTAGGCAAGATGCCTCCGAGAAACCAAACGCGGTTCAGCTTCACAAGCCTCTCCAGGGAAGACCTCATACCCGACAGTCTATGGCGCACAAGTATTGATTTGGTCTGCGTTGGTGGGACAAGGGGATTACAGAATACCAATGGCGTAACACCAGGGTTACAGGCAAATCTGCCTTCCTGTGGATTTGAAAGCGAGGCGATTTCGAAAAATTTGGAACGGCGCCGCCTAACCCAGCCTTACTCACAGGGCCTCAGCGTCCGCTTAGGTGAACAGGACGTTACTATTCCTCAGCAGACTGCCGATAGTGGCCGCAGTTGTGGAAGGATGGAAGTGACTAATGCCACGCCTCAAAAACTCTTTGCCTTTAGCAACGATGTAATGGGATTCCGCGCTGATCTTGTGGGCGGGGTCAGACAGCCATAAATTGTTTTCCATTGTTGCGCTTTTTTCCCTGCCGTCATTGGAGGCAACAACAGTATGGTGTCCTCAAATGATTTGCTGTTTCGAAACCCATAACGGCCAGGGGAGTTGTACACCTAGTTCTCTTGCGGGACGGTCAGCCAGGGCATGGTGTGTCACTCTGTATCAGAGCCATTCTCTGCCTCTTGTTGAAGAGCGCGCATGCCGATTTCTCAAGTTGGTTAGGCGAAATGAGTAATTACGAAGGGTATGCATCAGTATTTGTCATTTCTCGCTTCAACAGTAGTGTAGAACGAGTTTGGCCACCGTGCGTAAACGCGAGTCGCCACCTGACACGCCCAAACCGTCCGTCAGCGAACTATGTATGAACTTGGCCAGAGGAAGTTCACATACCTTGCACAAACCGATTATTGAGCTTGCTTGTGCTCTATTCGTTGCCTTGGTTCCTTCCAAGTATCAGCAAAATTCTAGATTCACGGAACCTCCAACAAATCCAGTGGCAATCAGAACACAAACGCTTTCCACAGTTTGAAATCCGGGATCTTCTGGTAAGTTTTTCGCTTCTTTTGCGAATTCAAGATAAATAAAGCTATTGCAAATGAGGACCAAATAGAGACGAAAAGCATTTTCTTCTGAGCAGCATCGAGGAGTGGATCAACTAAAAAAATAGCAGATTAGAATAAATATTTAATGTGATGATCTTAAAGGCAGTTGGCACGATAATTTCATGTACACTTCGAAGAAGAGCAACGGTGCCCAGTAATGCGAAAATAGTGGAAAGCGGGGCGAAATGGTGGGAAAACCACGAATGGGGGCTTTATTTCCTCGCTGCACTGCGACAGTGGAGGGGGGCGGGCGCTGCTTTGGACGAGTCTACCGATTGAACCGTTTACTGCTGGCAAAAAGCCAGCAGTACGTTCTACGTCGCTCTACGTTACACTACATTACACGTAGGCACGGGCGGTCCACAACGGCACGTCCTCGTGCTGTGATGCTATACGTCCAATGGTAGGCGGGCGGGCGAGGTGGGCGTCCGGGTCGGTATGTTGCTGCTCGATAGGGCGCTATAAGGGTACCCTCCTTGGAAAGGCGCTACGCAGCGCCTGTTCAGGGTCACGGAATTCTGTCATGCCAGTCGTATTAATCCTACTTGTCTTTAGGGATTTATCGTGCCAACTGCCTTTAACGGTTGTCAGTTGTGGTATAATCGCCTTGATAAGTCTATGAGTGAGCTTCCAAAAAAACTTTGGGATGTAAGTTTACCCTTCACTTTTCCTAACGATCAAAGGCAGTGGGCACGATTGCCGGAGGCCGGCGGTTGTTACCAGCGCCATTGGTGGAAGGGCTGCGAGAGGGTGTTTGGCCACAATTCACTCAGCCTTCTACCAATTACATGCGAACTCTTCCACCAACGAAAACCGCCCGCTTCCAGCAATCGTGCCCACTGCCTTCGAATCAGTAATTTCCCTAATTTCTTCATTGTTAGGCTGAAATTCAGACATTGTACATCTTTTACTTGTAATAGAGAACCCTTGGTCATTCTGTGACTACTTCTCTTCACACGCAAGTGCTACAGTAAGTCAGGTCAACTACCTAGAAAGAGTTGAGCTGGGTTCTAGACTTCACCGCAATTCGAATAGCCTTAC